CTTGATGCCATCGAGGGGTAAACTGAGACTTATCCGAGCCGAGTAATAGAAATCATCTCCCTCAATCGGCTTGGGAATAGGGACCCGGCCGCAAGCGGCGTGGCGTGGGTCTGCGTTGAGCATCCCTCCGGGGGCCCCTCTGCGCCGGGGAGGCGTTGTTGGAGGCTAGGACGCAAGCGTCCGTCGCCTTTTTCAAACTCGGGGCCCACTCCGGTCTCCGGACTCCGCTGCGCTCGACCCGAATTTGGAGGGCCATGAAGTTTAAGGTGTTGCTGCGCAAAAGGGGCGGGGCGCGGGCGCGCGGCGGCGGGCCGAGAGTTCTTTTTGGAGATCAGACCTTTCGATGGTTCATGCTTTCTATGTCTTCGATCTATCATGCTTCATGACACGACACGCGGTGGTGGGAGCTTGGTCAGTTGGTGGAGCTGTCAGCTGATCGATCCAAGCGGGTGGGGAGTGGGGGGCATGGCTGGGCATGCAGGTCCGCCAGTCGGCCCGGCCTCTGACGTGGTGCTGCCGCTGCATTCGCTGAAGAAGAGAGGTGCGACTTGATTGGAGGCACTGGAGCAGCACTGGAGGCGAGGGTGGGGAAGGGAAGGTTGGGCCGGGCCGTGCGGAGGGGCTGATGGCGCTGGCCAGCGCGGGGTGTGAGATGCCGTCGTCGTCGTATACTGCTGGCCCTCGCCCTCAGTTGCCAGGGCTGTGGGCTGCAGAATTGGCGTCTGTGGCGTCTACGCAGGCTCTGCAGCGTGATGGCTGGCGGGACTGCGAGGCTGGCGGCAGCGGAAGGAGAGGCTGGGCACGAGCCAGGAACAGGCTGGCCAGGTCCGCAGGTGGCTGCGCTCGGGCGAGGCGCGCGCGCGCGCATGGCAGGCCGAGCAGGCTCGGCATATGGGAGAGAGAGAGATTCTCTCTTGCCGATATGGTGAACCGCCCGATGTCGCGATGCGGTTTCCCGCTTTTCCGCGATCATTCCGTCCAATCGAAGGAAGCGCCGGATCGCCCATGTTATGGAGTTAGCCAAACTTGCCCCGCCCTTCTTCGGCTGAGATTCCGGCGGGGGTTTTTGCACGGTATTCGGATTTTCGCTATTTGGTCGTGTGGGTGTGATTCCGGGATTAGTCAATGGTACCGCGTCGGCGACGCGGGCGCCTTGCGGGCAGAGCCCAAAACCTTTGTCTTGCGCGGTCAAAAACAAAACACGATGGGAAGAACATCGGCAAGCGATGAAGCAAAAAAGAAAGACGCCGAGCGACGCTCCGAGATCGCCCGAGATAGCGCGGCGCGGCCCCGAGATCGCCCGAGATAGCGCGAGATCGCCCGAGATCGCGCGGCGCGGCCCGAGGCGAGTTGGATGGGTTGGGAGCGAGGGGGCGGAAGTGCTCAGTGCGGTAGATGGTCAGCTCGAGGCGCGTGAGCCGGACTTGTGAGCCGGACCACCCCCTCTTGAACCCTGCGTTGTTGAGCCAGGACTCAACATACTCGGGCTGTCGCCGTCCCAAACTGTCACTCCCCTTTCTCCCGGCCGGGGTGGGGCGCGCGCGGGTGGCGGCGGGTGTGCGGGATGTCTGTGGGACCGAGAGCATCGAAGGCTAAGCTCAAAAAGAAAGAAACTCAAGATCGCCTGCTGGCGCAATCCTGGGGTTCACAGCCTTGTTATTGAGAAGAAAATACCTCCTATGGCGCTGTTCACAGGAGTTCACCTTCGCCGCGCCAGTGACGCCTGCCACGGCGGGACGCGTAGCAACGCGTTGGCGCCTAGCCAGGCTGCGCTGGCCACTCTAGTACGTTGTCGTTGTGGTGATGCTCCGTAACCACCGCGTCCTCGCGGCCGCCGCGTCGGCTCTCACCCTGCAGCTCGCCGCCAGCCACGCCAGCGCGGCGGCGCTCTCCGGCCAGCAGCCGCCGCTCCGCACGCTGCACGAGTCGTTCCT